TCATCCTAACTAACAGGATGAGGTAATTACTTCTGTTAGTAAACTGAATAGTGCCAAGGAACATTCCCAAGCACTAGAATGCACTTGTTTATATTCTTCAGTTTTTAGGATGGTCTCTGGAGTAGTTTTGGACCATCCCATCTAGTAATTTCCAAGCATATCCTGAGCATGGCTGAGGATTCAGCACCAGCCAGGGACCATTCTGAATAGCCAGTTTGGATGCAGCTGCCTTATTCTGGAGACCAAGATAGTTTAACACTATAGACAGAGCCATCTGTGCCAGCTGGCCCCAAGGCTATAAAATGGGCCCTGGCACTGCTTAGTTTACTAGTACAGTCATATCCATAGCACAACTTCAGTTTTAACTGTAGCTGAGAGTATTTAGAGCTTCATCAAAATAGAACTGAAGTTCTCAAGTGGATAGGACATTTAAAGACCTGCTGGATTTGAGTCATTTGAATAGGCTAATGTAGGATTTCTGAAAAAGACATAACTAAAATGAGGTTCACTCCAAGCAAGACTCAGTTGCTGCAGCCTCCCTAATTCCTCACCCCACCCTGTGTAGCAAAAGCTGTGTTAGGCCATCTCTAAAAAGAAAGGTATGGAGGTTGACAAAATTAGCAGAAGTAGCCTCCAGTATAGGAGAAGAATGAAGAGCCTTAGGAAAATGCTTTATAAAGGCAATCTCTTCTACAGGACCTGTAGCATTACACTTTCATTTTAAAAATAAAATAACACTGCTGTCTTGCACCTTCCTCTGAAATGAGCTAAATAACAAGAGTACCCTTACTCTACAATGGAGAAGTCAAATAATTCAAGGGAAGTCAGAACCAAGATCAATACCTTTTACTTTCTTTTTGGATCTACTGCACTTAAGATTCTCTTCTCCAACTTCTTTTGGATCTGTAACATTGAAAATAATTACAGTAGCATCACAGACTTGGCTTGAAAGTCTCCAGGACAGATACAGGCTGTGTATGGAGCCTTAAGAACAACAACAGTAGCAAGCAGAATTTACAGTTTCACAAATTTCCATCTAAAGATGGGTTGTAGCAGAAACCTTTGTTTTCAAAGTGATAAGTACTTTTCCAAATAGACAGGACATGAAAATAAAGACATATGGTGACTGAAGAAATGAATATTCATTGTTAGCTTTTTACGATAATAGGAAGCACAGTAACAAGAGCTGAAAAGTTGTGTACTAATTTTTGCAGAAGTGATAAGAGAAGCACACATGGGAGCATACTTGTTTGATTTTTTTCTCTCATCTGAGGTGTCTTCTTCAGTCATTTCCATTTTCTCCAGCTGAATCAATATTTTCTCTCTTACAAAAGAACACAAAACCACAACTTAACCTCCCCACCCACACAAAACATATTAGTTAGCAGTTTCTACTGCCTGCTGCTCCCAGCTATCTTCTATCAAGCTGATTTCTTTTAGCATTTAATTCTTCATTCCTCTCAAGAAATATATTAACATTATGTATACTATTATGCTCTTATTTGTCACAGATCTTGCAACTCCTTGTTAACACCGGAAAATTTTATCAGGTAACGGCAAGTATGCTATAAGCTGCTTAAAAAATATCAAATACATTTTTTTCAATCAAAAAAACCCTCCACGGTAGAAAAAATATTTACCTCTAAAGAAAATCCAAGAAATCTTCCTTTTTTTGTGAAAAATAACTTAAATAGTGAAAAAATACTTTAAACAATTTCCCAAAGGCTTGATTTTTGAATTGATAGTTTTTCCTTTTCAAAACTAAAACACTGGGTTATTTTTTGTTGTTGTTTGTGTAAGAAAGACAAACAATCCAGTGAATTTAGAATGAAATAATAACTCTATACAGAACTTTCTCCAATACTTGTTTTTCATATGGAAAAATATTGTCTAATTTTATTCAACAAATATTAACTGTTTTAACTGGAACAGGCTGCCCAGAGAGGTTGTGGAGTCTCCTTCTCTGGAGATCTTCCAAACCCGCTTGGACGCAGCCCTGTGCCACGTGCTCTAGGTGACCCTGCGTGTGCAGGGGGTTGGACTAGATGACCTCTAGAGGTCCCTTCCAACCTTGAGCATTCTGTGATTCTGTGATTCATTCTAAATCCCTGACTTGGAATTCTTTACTTAGGTGAGTAGGCTCATTTTAGCAGCTTCACCAAATGCTGTGTAGATACTTAATATGACCCAGTTGGATGAATAAAACTTTTATGATAAGAATGAACATTTAAAAATATAGCAATATATGGAAAGAATCTGACACTCATTTCCACCTATACAAAAGTTTCAAAGACTATTAAGCACCTACTCCTGTAACTTCCACTACTCTCTTCTATGTTTGTGACATGCTAATCTGTCTCAAATACATTTTATTTACTCTAATATCCCTAGCTCGTGTGGCTATTCTAAATCATTGCTCTGGTTCTTCACTGTTTGAAGTCTTTTAGTATCCTTAATTGTTATTATATCCACCCAGCTATTAAAACACAATAACTTAAAATCACTATGTCAATAGGACTATTTGTAGCTTTACTGACTCCTTGTGAATAAATGTGTGGCAACCTGGCTCTCAGGCATCAGTCTCTATCTTCTTCAGTACCTAGTACATAACCCAGTGTGCTTACACCATTCCCTTCAGCTCCTTGATAGTTTTTATTTACACTATCTGCAGGTTTCCTGTGTCTCATGTTAACACTCGGATTCCCCTTTTCCCAATACTGTCCCATTTTTGGAAGCAGTTAGATTATTTCCCATGCTTTCATCCATGCTTTAACTGTCCCAAATCTGATTACTTCATCTCTCTATCCTGATAGATAGAAATTATACAAGACTCGGAGATGCTCAAGACAAAAATCAGTCTAGCTGCTTTGGGGTACCTTATTCAGAGGGACCAACTTCCAGGGTGAACCAGATTCTTTGTGCCAAGCTGCTGAGCAATGCGGTCAACAGGAAGACCTGTCCAACCTGCTGAGCAATGATCTCTGAAGAGCTTCCTGGGCAAGGCCATGGCAACCAAGAATGTGACTGCAGCTCTTTCCATCCCAGAGCAGATACCAACACTTTGTAAGCCACAGAGACAAGGAATAACAAGCACCCCAGGGCTCCAGGCAGAGCTTCTGATGCTGAAGCCCGCAGTGTTAACCTTCCACTGGTGGAGCACCCGTAGCTTAGATATAGTAGCATATGCTGTCAGAGACTATTATAAGCCTGCTGGTGGAGTAATGAGGAATCAGCTTCTGATTTCTCACTCAAGGTCTCGCTCATGTGTGTAAGTACAAAGGCTCAATAAAGCCTTTACATTTAGGCTTTATTCACTAGGAGCACTCAACCATCGGCATAAGTGCGTCATAAAATAGACAAAGAGCTGTAATTTGTACCAGTGGAGCTTAGCATTTTCTAAGACTTTTGAGGCAGATTTCCATCACAGGCAATGCTCTGAGCAAGTGGGAGACTGACAGGGTCTTTTTTTCACAGAACTTCCCATCTTCAACCAATTTCTTCTTGCTCTCTGTAGGAATTTCAGCCCACGTGTGCAAGTGCCTCCACTTCTGGATATCTAGGCCACTAAATAAAAACAGCCTCAATTTGAAAGGCATGATGTATTTGCAGTATTTATTCAAATGCTTAAAAAATAAGGCCGTTCTGCCAAGGCACTGATAATTGCTTCAAGCTGAGCACAGCCATTGCTGGTCTAGCCTTGAAGCAGGCAGAATCTGCTAACTGACAGTCTCAAGTTCACTAGTTTCCATTCTCCTTCTTTATGTTTCAATAAAGGTTTGTTATGGAAGAACCTTGTTCTCTCAGTCTTTGTACCTTGTCCTTGGGCCAGTTCTGAAATAAATCAACCTTTCCATAACTAAACTAGCTAAAATATGGCAAGAATTTGGTAGAGGGGGAGGCATCAAGCAGAGACCTTTTTTTTTTTTCTTTTTCATTATTGTTAATTTTATTGCTGTAACTTAGACTTATGAACTAAGTACAAAGTTCCTGCAAAGCAAGCTTGTCTTTGCTCTCACCTGTCCTGCAAGGGGCTGTTGGGACTGGACCTGCTGTCCTGTGTGGTCCTGGCTAAAGCTCCTGGAAGAGCAGAGCTTCATGCCCAGGGAGTGGGTGCGCAGCTTTCCTGCTGCAAACGCATGCATTTCTTTGCAGCTTTCCTCTGGACCCGGGAGCTGCAGATTTTCTCTGCTCTTATGTAATGGGCTGCCCATGGCTTTCCTTGGGAAACCTCTTTTCCAACTGGAGGGTGATAGGAGCCTCCTCCTACCCTCTTGGGTCACTGGAACTGCAGGCAGTCCCGAGTGTGGGGATCAAAAGAGATGTTAGTCTTTCTGATAACAAAAGGGAGTAATCGGGAAATGAACCCTCTCCTCTCTCCTGCACCCCAAGCTTTTCCTAGAGCATCTCTCCCCTTGGGGGAGCCTGGGGCGGTTCTGCCTGCTTGACTTCAGGCTGTAGGTGGGGGAAAAGCAGGGAGATATCCCCTTCCTAAAGCCGTACGGATGATTTTGCTCGGAGGAGTGTCCCCCCCAGCCCCGGTCCCAGCCCCGGCGAGCTGCACGCAGCGGGGCGATGCAGCAGCGGGACCCCGGGATGCGGAGCTGGGCGAAGCGCCGGAGGAAGCAGCGGGACGAAGCGGGAGTCACCCCGCTGCAGCCCCGCATCGCGGCGGGGGGAGAAGTGCCGGGAGGGAAGAGAGGGGGGAGGCTACTAAAACGCAGCATCATCCTCCGTGTCCCCCCGGCAATTGCCCCCCGAGTCAAAGCTACTCTCCACCCAGCAGACCCTTGCAGTTGCTAACCAGGTTTTTGCAAGAAAAACTCCTAAAAGAATAGGGAAAAAAGAAAAAAAAAAAAAAAGCAGGGAGCCCCTCACTCGGGTCCCTTGCACCGCCGGCGCACACACACTTACACACACCATTGATCAATATTTGGCTGCCTTGCTGCAACTTGCTGCAGTCTTTTAAAGGAGTAGTAGCAAGAGAGAGGGAGAGCGAAAGGGGAACTGACAGGAAGGGGTAAGGAGCTACACATGTCACATGTGCTTTCTAAGACGGCCAGGAGCATCTGCAGGCTGGATCTGGTGGAGGATGCTGCGGCAGGTGATACACAGAGGGCTCCAGTCGATTTTCTACAAGCTGGGCTTATTCGTGAGCAGGCATCCGGTGTTTTTCCTCACTGTGCCCGCAGTCCTGACCATCATCTTCGGCTTCAGCCTGCTCAACCGCTTCCAGCCTGACACTGACCTGGAGAGCCTGGTAGCCCCCAGCCACAGCCTGGCCAAGATCGAGAGGAGCTTAGCCAGCAGCCTTTTCTCCCTCGATCAATCCAAAAGCCAGCTATATTCGGACTTGCACACCCCGGGGAGGTATGGCAGGGTGATTCTCCTCTCCAAACCCGGAGGCAATATTTTGCATCAGGCTGATGTGATCCTGCAGATCCACCGAGCTGTGCTGGAAATGAAGGTGAACTACAAAGGCTATAATTATACTTTTTCCCATCTGTGTGTGTTGAGAAATCAGGATAAGAAATGCGTGCTGGATGATATTATTTCAGTGCTAGAGGATCTGAGGCAGGCTGCCCTCTCCAATAAGACAACAGCCAGGGTGCAAGTGAGCTATCCCAACACTAAATTAAAGGTATGCTCTTACTGCATGCTTTTGCCAATTAAAGAGGCAGCACTTCATTTCTTGTCCTAAACAGCAAAGAGAAATATAATCGTATCTCTCTATATATATATATGTAGATATGCGTGATGTGAGCTTTCCTCGGGAAGCAGCTGAAAGTGGTGCCTTGCTGTTGTTCTGTGCGAGGAGGGAGGGCGGGAGAACCGTGCGCTGACAAACCCGGGGAAGCAGTAGCTATCAGCGTTGGGACTGCAAGACCTTGCAATGCCTTGAAGGGTTAATGCATCTCGGGGAAAGGGGCAGAAGGTCTGTAAAGTGGGGGAGGCTTGAAAACTGGGGTTTCACTAGCACCTATTCCACCCCCCCTGCCTGCTAGGGCAATTTGTCCTTAGCATGACCAGAAAAGGTTTTCCTTAAATGCACAGTGAGCTCCTGGGTCTCCTTGTCTCTATGAGTGCCGTAGCAGCAGTAGGAGGCTTGGACAGGAGCAATTTCAGGTCTCCTGTTGTCTTATTCTTTTTTTCTTTTCCTTTATCTGCATGCAAAGAAGGGGAAGGGAGGTGGAATTTTTTTGCTCAGTGTGAAAATAATTAGTTCTGCCACTGATGGATGGGCTGGAGTTTTGGGATGGATCCCGTCAGGCTTCCCGCAAAGGCGAAACAAGGTAAAAGGTGAAAGAAGTTTCAGGCTTTCCAGTGACAGGAAAAAAGAGGAACAATGGATCTTGGGGATGTGAATCCACACTGGCTTTCCCCTCTCCCTCTCATCAGGATCAGTCCAGTTGACCAGGACTAACCGGCTGGGAGCAAATTAGGTGCAAAGTTTGCAGGCAGCTGGTGGAAGAAGTTTCCATAAATGATCACAAACCTCCAGACTCCTCTAAGCATTGCACCAGAAGCAGGTTTTATTTAACTGTGTTTAGCAAAACTGCACAGCACAGTTAGGCATGGTCGTAGGGAAAAGGTTATTGTCTTTTAAGACAGAGAGGGTCCTAGTGGAAATTTGTCCCCTTTTTTGTCCAAGAGATCCCTGGGGAGGAGGGAGGCAGTTTTGTTGCAAGTCCTGGCGCATCCTGAAGTTATCTTTTGTTTTGTTTTGTATCAATTGCCAGGAAAAAAAAAAAAAAAAAGCCATTCCCTGTCCCAAAACCAGAAATTGAGAAATAGATTGATTTTATTGTTCTCTTTGGTTCAGGAAAAGGTGAGGCACCTGGGACTTATGCTAGATGTTATGGCAGTTGTTTTCTGGGGAATGGAGTGTGTGGAAATGCAAAGGTGTCCTCGCTGCTGTCCAAAAGTCCTGAGTGCTCAGAACCCCAAGGAGTTATCCCATATTAAGTACCCCTACATACACTGTGACTTTTAGTTTACTGTGAAGACAGTCCTACTATTACGTAATGAAAATGCCTTCTTTCCAGTTTGATTACTTTTAAAGCCAGGATTAAGCTAATGCAGCAGAGGCACCACTATTCTGGACAAACTTTGTCAGCAACTACTTTTATAAAGACTAATCCAGATTAATTTTCTTGCGTAGAGAAATGCCAGCTAAGCTAGGTAGTGTCATGTGCTATTTGGGTGTTTTTTTGTTTAGTTTAGTTTTGTTTTTTGTTTAGTTTTTTTTTTAATCAGGATAGTACCTATAGCTTCTCTGCTTTGAAAAGAGTAAAGCAAGGTAGAAAAATCAGAAATATCAGACTAGCACTTCTAAATTCCCCATGTCATTGCGTATCATTTTCAAAGTGAAGGAATATATGCCATTAAAAATGTACTTTTAAAGTTGGATGGAGCTGGGAGCTTTTTACCTACCTGTCAGGAAAGAGAGGTAGAGCAGCCAAAATCTGTGGCTGCACAAAAGCTAATGATGACAAGCAGTTTCTATGGAAAGGGAGAGTTTTTGGTGTTGCTGAGGAAGCTGGAACGGAAAAGCATGGGCCACCTCAGAAACAAGCTTTGGCAGGGCTTTTTTTTTGCTCATTTGGTCCTTACTGGTCTGTGGTGCTGTGGTCAGCTCAGGACCTAGGCTGACCTTGAGTGACCAAGTATCCTGAGCTCCAGATCTGGAGGTCCAGATGCTGGAAGCAAAATACTTTTGCTCCTTCACATGGATTATTTTGCTTGGCGAGCACCTGTTTCCATGATCTCGGTGCCTTGTCTACCAAGGCGGCAGTGTTAGGAAGCTGGGGACAAACATCTCTTGATCTCCTGCAAGCAGTGACCAGCTTCTGATTTGAGCTGGGCTTCCAGGTATATTTGCTTCCTCCCCTATCTCTGCACCTCCACAGCTTGCCCCAGTGCTGTCAGGATGTGTTTAGACAGAAACACCTTGTAGGCTGCACTTTCAAGGGAGCAATCTCTCTGGCAGTGGTTATGAGATTTTTTAAAAATGTTTTTTGCTTGAATCATGAAAGAAAAAAAAGGCTACAGCTGGACCTAATGGAAATGCAAAACTGAGGGCTAAATCTGGCAACCTTTACTCACTATGGAGCAGAGCTTGTGTTAGCCCGTGTCCTTAGTGTCTTTCTGCAGCCATAAGGACACAGCAGGGTCATCCAGGTTCACTCACTTTCTGAAAGGCCACATAGTTTTCTTAATACTTGTAGATTTTTCAGTGTCTCGTTTTCTAATAGTGGCCTCAGACTGAATAAAATTCTTCCAAGAACAACCTAGTGAGTTTATAAACTGGGAAGGTGTCCCAAATGTGCTCACCTGCAGCCGACGCAGGGTGAATGTCAGCCTGTGCATATCTGAGACCCCGAGCGACCATCTCAAGCTATTTCAATCCCTCTTCTTCTCCCTCCAGGAGCTGTAAAGCCTCTTGTATTTTTGCTCCCTCAGACACTGTGAATTGCTCACACTTTATCCCTTTTCTTGCCTTCTGCTCAGATTTACTAGATAATCTCAGGCAGGGAGGCCAGCTGAAGTCTGACTGCAAGGGAGCTCCTGCCAGAACTTTCATGGGAGCTTTAGGCGAGCAGCACGAGCAGACTGCTCTGCTTGGGAAACAGCTGTTTTGGGGGCTGCAAAATCTAATAAAACTGCTTGGGTTTTTCTTAGAAAATCTGCCTATGAAGCGTAATGATCATTTAATCATTACTTGCTATAGTACTCAAGCAACTTTCAGGCTTGGATATGTCTATCTTCACAAGCCCTCTGTCAATAGCAAAGTCCTGTTCTCTCCATCAGGAGCAAGGTACCTCCCCAGTGCAGACTGCAGTGATGTTTCCAACACCCAGGAAGGGTTTATTTCTGCTGTGGCAGTGGAAGGGTCACTGCAGGCTAGTCTATTCCTCCAGGAGGCCAGGTAAACCAAGCAGTGTGACCATGCCTGCCTCCGTGGCTTGCAGGACCCAGGCGAGCTTGTTTATGGTTATTGCTATGCTATGCTGCAGTCTGCAGCCCAGCCAGGCAGTGACTTGTCCAAGGTCACACCGATAGACTGATAGAGCAGGAAACCAGAGCTGGATGAGTGGAGTCTTGGATGGAGCCTTTTCCTTAAGTCCAGGAGCAAGATTGCCTGTGCTCTCCCCAGCCCGGACAACGGAGCGATATTCTTTTACTTGAAGTCTGACTTGTGCCCCGAACTCAAAGTCCACACTGAGCACTGACCCTCAATCATCAAATTGCTTAATTGCAAGCATGGTCCCTTGCAGAAATGTAGTCAGTGGGCTATCTTCCAGGATGTCAGCATGGCTTGGGAGTTAGTGTGCATCAGGGGCCTGATCCCAGTACACCAACTCTGTTCTGGGGGTAAAAGAAAGCATCTGCATGGATATGTTGTGCCTTTGCCCTTGAGGCCAGAGCATGGTCTGTTGTACATTTTATTTCTTAGTACAGACAGAATTATTGATTACAATGGGATTACTTCATGTGTGCACTCAGATACAAGGAAGGAGAGTTTTTTGACCCTGATTTGTCAGTAACTCCCTCAAATTTTCTGTCCTTTTCGGTAAAATAAAACACTAAAACCCAGTCCTATCCTGGAGACAAATAAAAGCTCACAAACATTCTTTTTTTTCCCCTGTATTTCACCTTTACTGCTTCTTTTCATATTTATTTGCTAGTTTTTCTGAGAAAATATGGTAACTTAGAATTTCTAACCTATCTGAGATCAGAATGAACATGGCAACTGCTGGTTTAAAGGAGTCTCTCTGAGCAGATTGGTTTTTGTAACACCCCCTTCAATTAATTAAATACTGGTCACTTATGTACACTAGGCTAAACAGCAGCCAGTAAAACCGATATCTCTATTACCACATCTGTGATTGGCACATCGGCTGAATATTGAATACTTTCTTGCTACATAGAAAAGTTTCTTGCATTCACTTAGCATCTCAAAACCTACAGTTGCAGATTCACCACTGGTCAGATTCACAATTGTTCTCATGTTAATAGCTGTACTTTTAAATGAGTCTTGCCCCATCTGCATTTGAGGAGTCTTTCCCAGAAGTCTAAAATTATCCCCTCCTCAGATGTCTCTGAGATATCAGCCACCGAAATGGGGCAGTGAGTATATCGGACATCTTGGACATGTGTGTATCAGTAATATCCAATAGTAATAATAGTTAGCAACAAGTGTATCAGTGTATAAGATTATGTTCTCTCCTGAGACCTGCTTTTACTGGGCAAATGTCCTCCAGATGCTTCCTCTGAAGCAATGAATCTCTGTACTGACTGCAATGCCACCCGTCCCAAGACAAGTCTGTGGCTCAGGATCCTGTGAAATGCTCTGCAGTTGTCAAAAACACTAAGTCAAACCATACTTGCAAACTAGGTTCAAGGAGAGGATCAGGCCAGGAAGACTGGAGGCAACTGATTATAGTTTTAATCCTAGTCTCTCGGATCAAGGCAGGATCAGGCAAGCTGAGCACAGAAAATGTCTGAAGGCAAATCACTTTTTCTGGCTCACCAGATCCTCTTGCTCTTCAGACTGCATTTCCTCACTTTTGCAGGGTCCCCTGGTATGTGCTAGGCCTCCTGGAGATGTTGCCACGGTGTGAGTAATAATAGCAAAGA